CTGCGAAAAGAATCTTTACACTAGCTTTTTGCGTAGTGCAATACGAACAAATAGGCTTAAGGCATATATGCCAGAGTCGAAACCCGTTAAACAAGGAGGAGCAAGAACTGCCTCATGACTTTTCAACCAAATGCTTCGACCCAGTAGAGGATACTTATCGCGGGTAGTATTGTTGCGAAGTAGGGACGACACTATGTAGTAGATATATGTGAGTACCGACGTTAACTCCCTAATTACAAACTAGGTTATAGCTACACCCCTAGCTCCTATGCGCGGTCCATTGACCGACATCATAGCGGCTATAAGAAGTGATAATTGTATGTGTCTGAATCACGTTTAGCAGAAACTAGCGTCTGGCTCAACACTACCAAAGCAGCGAATCGTCCATATTAGTTGGGCGGCAACTGCTCGATGTCAAATCTCTCTTTACCTATACCAACTTATGCTTAACTCTCTGTGTAACCCGAATGAAAAGCTATGTATTTCTGCTACCACGATTCAAGACTTAGACTTACACTGTCTGGTCACTACACAAGTCCTGGACTGTGTTCGCAGTACTCGCAAATCGGAGAAACAGTAACAACTAGCGCACCTCAAGCCGGATATAAGGCCTGTATATCCTTATCATTCCCAAAGATACAGCGAGCAGGACAGTTGAACACAAGTTCCAAGTCACCGCCTCACTTAATCGTGAACCCCAGAATGGATTCAAGTGCGCTACCACCGTTTACGTGCTTATACGACCCTGAAACAGTCCCGGTCTTCCCTGACACTTTCCTGTCCTTATTTCTCCTCTTATACCGCTGATTATACTTTCACATCTTGAGTCACCTCGCTTCTCACCTCACTCTCAATAAGCCAACACACTTTAGGCCACCAATTGACATGATGTTCTCACTCTCGCACTCACCTTCATGGAAGGCACAGTCACCCTAGTATTACTCTCTTAAAGGGTTTGCCTTTCTTTCTACCTTTCCTGGATCTCTCTAAAATCCCTCTATACCTTCCTGTATTGTATTATTCCACTTTGTGGTTTATAGTTACTTGCCTCTTTCACTGCCACGAGCCTGTAAGATATTATTATCTTCAGTGAACACCCGAGTACAATTCAACTATGGGTTCTGTTGTACCCATCCAGGTACAAAGTGAAGAGGATGGTACCGCTATCAGCTATGCACAATTGACCTTAAAATGTTCACTTCTGTTACCTCAGGCTGATCTACGATGTATTCGATTTTCGAATCACTACATCCATATTAGTTATACCATATCACTTATCGACGTGTCCCTCGATGATAATTCCTTGGTGCTGTTCTGTCAACTGGCTTGCAGAGATCGCTGTACAGAATCAGTAGTATGACATTCCTATCATTCCCGCAAGACTCATAAGCAAGTCGGACGATTATAGAGACCATCACACAACATCTACAAGGTCATGAGCTTCCTCCGAATCAGGACAGAATCTGACGTAAGTACTAATCAATCATTTGACGGACTTGTACCACTTCCACCCGTAGAAACTACTTCGTATACTGTCCCCTCAACTCCTTTTCTTCAACTATTTATCGCTATCAGCTATACAGATGCGATTCCAGCTATCGCTTTCTTGATTCCTCCTACCTCAATCACAGTAATGTAACCCACATTACTTCGTTCGGAAATTTTCATTCTGTGATAAATTGCTGGATGATCGATCTCAAAGGTTGGTCAGCCGCCACATTATCACGATCTGTACGCTTACCACGTGGAGATCAGACCATCAAGTAATCCCTGATTACTAGACTGATGAGGTTTCCTACCCAGTATCGACATCGATGCCGATCAGTACCAATGGACCATGAGAACGGGTGTTCAGTCTCTACCTGCACGCTTACAGAGGTTCAGTAGCCAAGAAGACTCTCATTCATCACGGGATGAACATGGACTTCGTCGCAAGTTCACGCGCGACAATCGTGACAAGCTTCAACACATCCGTTTCAAAGACCGATATTACCGGATAATGCATCCACGAAGGAATCGATAGCCTCAAACCCGACACATTTATCTGCTCTAATTTCACATTGTTCCTGAATGTTAAACCTTCTGTACCACGTCCACCTCACAAATTGGTAAAAGAAAACTCAAACACGATAATATAATCTCTTTACTTGAGCGATAAGTAAAGCACATAACAATACAACCCGGATAACGGTTTTGATGAACAGCGCACGCTGCGTCCATCATCAACACCTGCAGATAAAGAGTTATCAACTCTGAATCGACTCACTACGGATCGATTACTTCAATCTTCTCTCAGATATCGAACTGAGAGCTAATCCAGAGTCTGTACTATTCACGGTTCAGTCTTGTACTCCATATACACGCATGCACAATCTGTGTGGCCTATGCTAACTAGGCATATGGATACCGAGTCATACTGAACGACATACGAGAGCGAGGATTTGTACGGCTCCGACATACTACCTGTTTTGTCGTAATGGTGAGAGCCAATAATGGTCAGCGGCACAGTCTACAGGTAGACTATAGGAACTATGAAGTTGCACTCTTGAATGGAGGCTACGGAGCTTTCAGAAATCGACAACAAAGTTGATTAAGAGTAGTGTCTAAGTCGACAGAACATAATATAGTAGCCGGATTGGTAGCACACTCCAATGATACACCACTAATAACGTAGGTTGATGCATGATGGTTGTAAACAGAGCGAGGGAGAGTCTTGCGACACCATCTGAACCGTCTCCTTAACCGTCATTACAACTATATCAATTCGGCAGTTATTAGCAATTAGGCTTTCCTGGAAGTCAGTCTCAACCGCATGGTTAATATCTGGGTCTCATCATTGTTTCTCCTTGTCCGACTGGACTAAATCCCTGCTACAGACAGCGTAATCAGGGCACGCTTCAGCGTGGAGCGCGCCGTCCATTGGGCGTGCCTCGAGCGATTATCCAAGCACATACCCATTGCAAACCAGAACTCCCCTTATAGGCCTTAATCGCGCCAGTCCAACCAAGGGAGGGCAGCAGAGTCTCTGCTGGAGACCACTCCGATCTTGGCACAATCCTAAAAACTACGATCAGAGGTTAGCTCTAGCCGAGTCTATACAGATCCCATGTACATTTGGCGCACTATGGTCTTGATACGATTCCTCTACAGTTCGTATCTGTGAATCAGTAGCGCATTTGAGACAGGGTTTTCAATACCGCTCTAGTCATACTAGGTCGATGTGAAACATCGCGCTAGATTTAGCTGGCGTGGAGAGATTCCACGCTACTAGATAATGCTAGACGAATCTTCCACGCGTTCCGTTTTTGGATCGTGGAGTGAGTAGGATCGCTACCGCAACCTACTCTAATCACACTCTACAGTCTCCCGCGGGAGTTCAATCTACGATCCTTTGATTGTGGATCTCTCTCCGTTGATTAGTTTTCATAGCTTTCTAATCCTCTTATAACTTTCATTCTCTCAAACTCAAAACACTCGAAAGATCTTTACACTAGCTTTTAGCGTAGTGCAAAATCATTCTTGGGTCGATGGATACTGACTTTTGTGCTATGCTCGGATTGGCGAATTACATTGAGGCGTCCTTCAACTACGGGTATGGCGCCGCTGGTCGGGAAAATGCATTCCTCTTTACTCCCGAAAGCGATCCCAAGTTGGCTCCCAAGCACTGCAACGCAGCCTACCGCAACATTCTCAAGGCTGTCTTTTTGTCGGCTCCATTTCTGGCTGTGGCGGTCCTCATTGCCAGTGTTCTTGGGAGTCACAGCATTCGGAAGTTTGCTGCAACTCTGGCAAGAGGAATGGGTGCTACTGCTGACGAAGTTGACATTCGAGGTCGCTGGAAGGCTCGCTTGTCTTGACGGGTTGTTGATGCCTACATTTCGCCTGAACAGCCCTGGATCGACGCCCGTGTTGCCGAAAAGCTTTGCATGGGGGCTCCTATTGCCTATAAGCTACACCCGGATGCCAAGAGAGTGACTCCCGGCTGGTTGATTGAGCATGTGGTGCCAAGGACACATGCCTTTTACGACGGTGTCAACGACATTTCCCTTCACTTGGCTCTGCCTCTTTTGTGGGCTGCTCTTGACGAATCTTGGGAGGAGAGGATGGAGCCTCCCGTTCGTGTTAGGATCCAAGATGCGTACGAGCGCATCAAGGCCGATCTTCCTGTCGGCGTCAACCCTGTGGTGAAAGTGCCTCTCTCTATTTGGACGCACAACACCAAGCTCCACATCAACGAAATCGAGCCGATGGATACGGGAGGTGGCGGTGGCACGGCTAGTGACACTACAGGAACGACCGGCCAGGCAAGCACTCGTCAAGTTGCCAATCAGTCGCGGCAGGTGACGGCTATGCAAACGCAACAGCAGGTACGAACGAACGAGGAGATTCTGACAAGGATTATTGCGCAGCACAACCAGCTCCAGCAGCTCATTGCGCAGGAAGGTAGGACCCGCGACAATACGGCTGCTGCGTTGAGAGGCTGGTTGGAGACTTGGCTTGGCGCGGAGCTGAGGAAACTCAATGGCAACATTTGCAGGTAAGTGTGGACTTGTGGCTGTTGGCTATTGCAACCATGGCTATTACTGCTGCTAACTCTGTATTTTTGTTTGCTTTTAGGATTGCTGTTCAGCCTCCAAGGATGGCAACACCTGATCAGGTAGATGGTAATCTTTTTAGAAATGGGTTGACTGTGGAAATGACTCGCCGGAATGGCCAGACTAGTCTCAGGTACAGACGAGCTGTGGCAACCCCTGCTGATAGTAGGCCTGCCAAGCTAGCCAAGTACAGAACTATTGGCTCTGCTTGGGAAGAGTGGATGCATGGTATTGGTGGCAACAAGCCAGCCAAGAACCTCACTGCTGAAGATATCAGGGCTTGCAAGTCAACCTACTCCAGGAGGAAGCCACTCTGGACTCTCATGGCTACACTTGTCAATTCTGGCACTGCTGCCATCAAGCAGGACACCATTATGGGCAGTCTGCATGAGGATCTTTGTATTGTTCGTGCCCAGTAAAGTTGACCTTAGTTTGATAAGCATGCTAGCCATGCCTAATAGTGAGTCTGTTACATGAGTACTTGTTGTGTTTTCGTTTTCGTGGACTTGTGGCTTTTTCGTACGGAGCGAGCGATTTCCAGGCACTACTACTAGTAGCTACGTACTACTAGTACCCTGGTTTCTGAGGACTTGTGCTTTTCGAACGAACGAACGAACGGAGAGGTGGAGGTGCGTTCGTATATCTTAACAGTGAGTAGTAGAGGTGCGAGCCTCATTTTTCTTATGATCAAGGACGTGACGTTTCGTTCGATCCTCACTGGTATGAATGAACGAACGATCAACCAGCATACACCAGGTGTCGCCTGGTGTTGGTATACCTCGATCGATAGGAAGGATACCTCCTGTAGGATGGCTACCACAGGTACAGGCTCTCAGTATTTCTCTCAGTTCTGGGATATACTTTTATGGTATGCATACCAGGTAGTCTACTGGGTAGAATGTACCGCACTACACTTGCCCACATGAGCACCTGGAAGGCACCCGGTGACGTCATAAAGTCGTGTTTTCTTGAAAGTCGCGAAAATTGCCAAAAGTCCTTCTCTTTCGCGACTTTAATAGTCGCGAACGACTTTACCACGACTTTACCACGACTATTATCGCGACTTTCGCGACTTCCGCGACTTTGCCGCGACCTTACTAACAAAATCGCTAAATTTCACCACAACTTTACCGCGACTTTTACCGCGACTTTTAAATTCGCGCACGACTTTACCGCGACTTTATCGCGACTTTAATAGCGACTTTAATATGTTTTAGCGACTTTACAACGACTTTTGCTATGTAAATGCGACTAACTATCGCCAACCGGTTGCCTTCCTGGTGATGGACGTGTGACCCACACCCTTCTTGGTACAGTACTGGTACCAAGTTCGATTGGATTACGGGTTGCCTAATTGATGTAACTGTCAAGAGTCCCAGTGAATTTACTTAGGAAAACTTAGTATCAACTTGGACTTGTAACTTGTATCATACATCGTGCGCTGACGGGAAACAAAACGATCGCGCCTATGATACGGTAGCTAGAGTCCATTTAGGTTGTCAATTGTTTGCCTTCTCTGCTGGCTTGCTGCAGTAGCTTCGGTGGTCGCAAGCCAGAGCCATTCATTATTTTTCTTCCAGACTCAGAAGGCATCCCAACAACAACAAGAGGCATCGGAGGAAGATGATGATGTGATTGACCACGCCTTGTACGCTCCTTTAACTGGTGGAAATGAGCTCTATAACCGATGGAAGGCGAATCAGAGTCAACTACCACCTGATTTTGGCAAGTTATTCGAGCCAGATTTGGATGAGCAACACCGTGGTGATCTCTTTGAGGCGGAAGATGAAGAAGCCCAAGAAAAGTATGCTTGGGCCGTTCCAGATGAGAGAGCCTTGCGAATCTGTGCCCACTTTGCGCCTCTTGTGGAAATGGGTGCGGGAGCTGGATACTGGGCACGTTTGTTGCGAGAACGAGGTGTGGCCATTACAGCCTATGACAAGGACGTCGATGTGAATTGCAAGGCAGCGGGTGTCAGCGCCAGACCCTTTACCAAAGTGGAAAAAGGAGGGCCCGAAACACTGGCTCTGTTTCCCAATGCCACTCTCCTGTTGATTTATCCCATGATTATGAGCAAGGTGACGAAGAGTTGACCTTGTCCATGGCAGCATTGCAGCATTTCCAAGGAGATACTATTGTTCATGTGGGCGAGTGGCTTGGCCGTACATTGATTTTATCAATGGAGGGACAAGAGACTCCTGATTCAGTATACCCATGGGGACGAAGCACGAGTCCTGATTTTCAAATAGTTATGGAGGCTTCCTTCCATCGAGTGTTGCAATTTGGCTTGCCTAATTGGGGCTCTGTTCGGAACTGCCTGACAGTCTGGAAACAGCATAGTTCCGTGGTCCTAGAAGGGGATCGATACGCATACATACCAGAAGAGGAACAAATGGAGATCACATTGGCTTCGCCTTCTACAAAACACCTCTTGGCAGAACCTTGACATGACAATTATTGTGCGACTGGAATGAATGAATGAGCACTTGATAGATCTTGTCCAAACAATGCACAAGCCAATTACCAGATGACTAAAAAACTAGTCTCTCTTGGATTCTGAACGAATGTTGTCGTACTGGTTTCAACAATCATCTCTTCACTGTCAACAAGCGCCCCTTTTCTTCAAGCTCCCAACTTGCAATGTGGGGAAAGAGCTCCTTGATGACAATTTCCAATAGTCGAATTCGAATCAAATTGAGGTCATGATAATGCCGTCCATCCCCAATGGCGGTGTAGCCACAGGATTGTAAATCATTTTCATTGAATGTAGCAATCGTGGCATTGTTGCCTTCATTCTCCTTCTTGGTAAGAAGATCAAATGTCCGTTGGTTCAAGTGTTGTGCTCCATGTTCGTCAAATGCTGCATCATGGTAGTACCAGACGGAGTTGAGGAGCTGTAATGTTGTATTTGGAATCACTGCACACTTTGACTTGAAAGCTTTGGAGGCACTGTTGGATGATCTTGTCGGTGCCAGCGCATCCATTTCCTGCCAGGCCTTCCCACAATCTGTGGTGGCTTGTCCACTGGCTCCCTTGTACAGTCAGTTCTTGACTATATTTATATGGGGGTAATACGGATTCCTATAAATATACTAGAGAATATAAATATAGGCTCTATTTACTAGTAAAGTACGCGTGGAGAGTGCCGTCACGTTTTTGTTTGGCAGCCTTTGCTCCCCTAGCCATATTCAATGCCCTTGCAAACCTGTCAAGATGAACGGTGGCAGCCGGGTTCACACCCAAACTGGAGGCACTGAGTGAGAGCTTGTTGAGTGCCTCTTCGGCTTCTGCAATGGAGGCAAACAGATCGTCCGGTTGGGGATCTTCATCCGTCGGTTCTGGCTCGTCGTCATTTTGCTGCTACGAGATTTGCGAAGGGTACGTACACATGCACTGACGTCAGTCACGGTCACTCGTGACTCAGGGGGGAACATCGAAATTCCATAAATATACTGGAGAATATAAATATACGTTTATAAATATAATCGCGAACACACTGTAGTTTTGATCACAGATGAAATTTGTTCCTCTGCCTTCCCATTGGATATAAGTGCCTCTGAATGCTCCCATGTTATTTGCATGCCGAATTCCGAACTATTGTTCATTTTGCCCTCCGTTGCTACAGTGACAAAGCAGCTTTGCTTCATGGCGGGGAAGAACCAACTGCATGGTGGTTGTCAGGTGCGGTCACGTTGATGGACCACATGTGGTGCACCGTAAAACAATTTTGGTTGAACTCGAATATAGCATGCGGTTGCGGCAACGTAACGAGTAACCCTTGCTTACGATTGACTTTACAGTGCCGGAACCTGAACGTGCAAAGGTACTATCGGTAGTACGGCAGTTGGCAGCGAAAGAGGTGCGGGTCAATTGATGAGGCAACGTTCCCGCAAGGATTGTCCAAAGGATGGCGAGCGTGAAAGAAGGCCACCAGAAAGGAAACTAAAGTGGCCTGATGATGGAATGCATCGTGCAATGGCGCATCGTTGTAATAAATACCAGCCACAGCGGCAGCCGAGAGGGGAATACGTCAATCCTAACAGAATCTTCTGGTGGCAGAAATCGTTATTTCTTGCTAGAAGCATCAAAATGTCGTGTCTCGACCACAGCTTCAGGTCTCGTGCGGGAAACATGGCCAACTGTGAGGACGATGGCTTTGTAGCAAGAGCAAAGTTGATTCCAAGCAGAGTATCACAGCTGGACAAGACAACGTGAGCCCACAGTTCAAGGAAGGTACACGATGGCGCCACCTGGCAGACAAAAACATGGCTCGAACCACCGGAGCACCAGCTACATAATAGTTAAGGAAGCAATGAAGCTTGTTTTGCTCAAATTGTTGCCACCTCCACCAACGCATCCCAACTGTTGATTGTTGCGTCCATAGTCCGCCTACAATTCATCTTGTCCACTGGTAGCTGTCTCCTTGTTTCCCAGTGATTCATCAAGTGGAGATGTCATTTGCCACCATTCAATGAGATCCTCAGCACTTGACACCTTGAATAGGGAAGGTGATACATGTGATCCAAGTCGGGAATCATCACACTTCACAGCTTCGGCAACTCCAAGTTTCTTAGAGCTTGTCTTAGAGCTTGCTTCCAAAGTCTGCACTAAGACTTTTTCAAGTCGGCATTCTCCTTCTACATCAATAACGGGGTCTGGCACTCCCTCATGATTTGGTTTCTCATACCATTTTGGGTCACCAACCGGACGATAGTGAGTAAATAGATTGGCTGGGAATAAACAGAAACAATGTCATGAGAAACAAACAAACAAACAAACAAACAAACAAACAAACAAACACAATAAACCCAGCTTTGCTTTTGAGGCACTCACTGTAGTAAGCATGCTGGCCCATCAATGGCCGGTTTCGTCCATGCAAACACTTGGCACTCTCATAGTACACCACATCTCCAGGCTCCATGACGACCTCATGCAATCGATCACCATGGTCATTTACTTCCACAGGCCAGGGCTCCGTCAGGTTTCCTTGGGCAACATTCACAATAAGACTGACAGCATGGGTTGCTTCTCTATCAACATGAGTCAACAGCCGGGCCCCATGTTCATATTGGCGAAGACCATACATCACTGTTTGCTCCACAGGGAGACCTGCCCAAGCTTCCACCAGCAGTCGGAGTCTCTCTTGCCATCTATATTTCTGCTCCCATGGAATTTGAATGAAGGTGCAGTTAATTTCCCACCAGTTGACGAAGACACCATTTCCGGTCCACTCCTCCCGCACTTTGTGGTGTCGATTGTTGTAGTAGAATGCTCCCATACTGGCAAATAGATCATCTGGAAGACGTCCTTTCTTGAATCCCAATGGGCTAAAGGTCCTTTTCACACGATTGTGTCTTCTCCATTCATTATGCAAGGTGTTTTTGATTTCTTGCTCAAAGTCATACATTTCAGGATCGGCACTTGGAGGAGAAATTCCAATCGCTTTGGTGGTGATAAACTCAACTCGAATTTGTTCAAGGAGCTCTCCGGTTTCACCATCATCCACCTCAAATCTATGCCCCACATAACTCGAAAAGCACTGAGTGCCATCATATCCAAATGGAATCTCCTGCTGAAATTCCTTCTCTCCAGTAGATGAAATCCAGAAAAGTTTAAGGGGAGTCTTGCGACTGTGATAGTTCATGAGGCAGACCTCCATTCGACTGCAATTATTCTTGAACCAGTCAATAAAATCTCCCTCTCCCAGCCAGCGTCGCTGGGGCATGGCGGCATGGGCAACCGACTTGTCCGTCCCTCGCTCAAGACAAACTGCCACACAATCTCCTTCACTGGTACCGGGAAAGATTGCACTGAGGGCCTCAGCTGCAACAGCATGCGACTCATAGCCATAGACCATTCCAAGTTTGGTGGGACCACATCCATGGCTACCCACAGGGAAGAGAAGGTTGTGTTTTGCCAATTTGCCATTTTTATCGTAGTCAAGATCATTTTCAACGGATCGAACAATATCTACTGCAGATGTAGTGACACCAAAGGCACAAACAAGGATTAAGGCTATTGCATTCTTCATGGCCAGGGTGCCTGCTGACACAAATTTGCAACAAAGTGCACGGTCCTTCCTCCCTGCCAATTCAGGAATGACTTAGTCTGAGAGGTTTTTCAGGTACGAAGTTGATACAGGTAGTGCACTCGTGGGGTCTGTGTCTGTGGCTGCATGTTTTTGTGGCGGTCTTTGTGGTCTTCGGGTCTTCAACGCTTCTGTCTCCGTACCAATGGTTGGTTCAAGTAAGTAAGTGTTCTCATGTTCGCCGAAGAAAGATCCTGTTCGAATCATTCGACTCGATTGCCAAGGATCATTCGAATTGGATGTCTTGAATTCAATCATTCAACCCTCTAGTCCATTTTATCTCTTCCGAACTCTACTAGCTAGCTACGATGTAGTAGGTACGGTAGCTAGCTAGCTAGTAGTAGACGACAACACGGCGGGTTGCCAAGCAGGTACGACTGTACATGTAGCAGGCTAGTAAGTTGGCCTTGGAACGAAATCGTGGCTAGAGCCCGGACTACTACCAGCCAAACGAACATGGTTTTTTCCGTGATCGATTTGGAAAGCTCACACATCTCCTCCTACTAGGGAGATGAAAGATCGTGGGAGCAAATGTCTACGATAAGAACTTCTAGAGTTTTGACTTTGCCATTCCTCTTCTTGCCTTTGTTGAGATTCTTTTACACAACATAAGAACTGGTCCCATTCAGTGATGTTCTTGCGTTTCATCTATCTATGCAATCGCTTTGCCTTCACACTGCCCAACGGCACGGTGCAGGTTCTTTCTGAGCGAATTACCACGCAATGCCATCCGACGAACAGTCTAGCCGTTTTGCAAAACAGCCACTGATGCTATCCCCATGGCTGCAGACTAACTGAGCAACAGAAACGACCATCGTCGTACCCGCAAAGAAGAACGGCAGGCTATATCTTTTGCTCGACCCTGATAGAGCAAACCTATAATTCGTGGAGTAGGGCAAATACTGTAAGAGGTAGCAACCATACGCTCCATGCCTCGAAGAATCCCTGACGGGTTGCAGCGGAGGAGGAAGTGGTGCAAGGGGATCCTTCATCCGAGTTTTCCCATACGATTTCAAAATCGATCCAAAACGGTTGTGGATCACTGGCGCATCTTCCCGTATCTTCGAATCCACAGCACCGTCCTGCGCCAGCACAAAACCACAATTCTTTGGACTGGTAGGTAACAGAACTAGTGGGAGATCCCAACATTGTCGTACCCAGACCGCTACTTCGGGGCAGGGGATGGACTGCGACCACCGATGCTGTTTCCGAATTCACTTGATCCATTGGCAATTGAATTGCATAAGTGACATTGGTTGGCATTTGCGTCTTCCAGTAATTCAACCAAGGAGCACTCAAGCGAAGGGTTTCTGCCACGACACCATCGTCGGCAGCGGTTCCTGGGGAACGACATGTCAAAAAATGATTGGCATTGGCAATGGTATATTCGAGTCGAATGACTTGAGTTTCTCCCACTCTGGACAATTTCGGATCAAACGTCCATTCAACCATGTCCCACCCAAAGCCATTGAGATATTGTCGTGACGACAGGGGTAAATCGTCTCCAAAGACTTGGGCATTTTGAATCGTCGCACCCTGTTTGCGTGGCGTTGGATCCAATACAGAATGATACCCAGTCGCAAAGTCGTGAGGTTCCTTGTTCACACGCCAAGTGAAAGACATCTGGACGCGGACTTGGTTGGACGCAGGGATCACATCAAAAAGAACACCGTAAGCATCCAAGGCTACCGTGGCTTGGCCAGCAACCATTGGAAGGGAGATCAGACTCGAGAAAAACAAGATCGTCCCCAGCAGAGACGGAGCTTTCGGCATCATTGTCGCTGTCGTGGCGTCGCTAAGAGTTTCTTTGCTTCTTCTATTATCGTGTTGTTGTGGTTCCAGAAGCTGAAGAAGAGTTGCACAGGAAAGCGTCCGGAAATCCTAACCACGACTCGCACTGAAAGTTTATTTTCACTTTTCAAAAGAATAAAAGCATCTTTTTTAAGATCTCAATTCAATGAAAATATTCCAAAATCTCTTCAGTGCGACCGGAAAATTTAGATTGAGCTTGTAGAGCTATTGAAGTTGTTTTGAACTCGCCACCGTTCCCATGATGTGCTGTTCTTGAATCAATCGAGATCTACCCTTTCTCATTTCCGGTACCGGCACCCAGTGAGCTTCACATCTCTCGTCGGGGCAGGGCGAAAGGGAGGAAGAGGAGGGGGTCGTCTCTCGTGTACCAGTTCAGAATATCTACGTCCGCGTGTTAGGACAGGTCTTAGTTATTTTGCTTTCATCTGTTTTGCAGTGAAAGTTGAAAGGCCATGAAGCTGTCATTGTGGTTGGATTGAGTTCGGTTGGCTGCTACTGCTATCTTTTCGTCAAGTCCCCCCTTGCAACTGCAGGGCTTACCAGGGTCGGCAAGTGGTGATGTTTTGAGGTGTGCTGTTCTTGCTTGCGTGCCAATCGTTTGAGTAAATGCAGAAGCAAACTGGCCAAGGCGACCCCCGCTAAATATTCTCCACCAGCAGAGGTTTATCTGAAGATGAAGAACCAGCGACGCTGTCGTCGATGAAGTTGTCAGTCTCTTTGAAGAAGAGGTGAAAATTTCGTATACATCCCAGCCCATCCTGTGGCTCAGTTCGGGGTAGCCTGTCCTCTGCTGAGCGGTGGTGCTGGGTTCCTTGAAGAAGAAGAAGCAAACAGCATCAGGAAAGCCAGTCATGTGATGGAAAAGGTCCGTGCCCAGTGCATGCCTTGGCCTGGCCGATGATGTGACGTTTGGCTAGTAGGACGCCTTCGATTGCTACGCCAAGACGAGCTCTTGCTGCAGGTAAGGTAGAGCGGAGCGAAGAGCAGAGCCGTGGAGGAAGCACTAGCTACAGTTCATGATGAATTCTGTAGTGTCGCGGGTGGTCGATACCGTATCCTTTGTGTGCTGGCTGAGAGTCGTACGGTCTATGGGCCACTGGTCCATTCTGGCCACCTGAATCGAATCCTGCCGAGAGGAACTACGGCGAGGTAGCTAGGAGGCTGATACAAATCATTTGGTTCCCTTGAGATGTTAAAAGAACTACAACATGCCAACACCGAGAACAAATACCACCACTGCATCGCAACCTTTCTGATCACTTCTACTTCCACAATATACTGCTTTGCTTTGCCTTGCCTTCCCAACTGCCACATTATATTTCCCCTTCAACATAGCGGTGCATGACCACATTAAGAGACTCAGACAAAACATTGATGGCAACATCAATGTCAGCCTTTGTGTGAGCAGCAGAGACATTCAAACGAATGGAAGGTTGTGGCTCTGCACGCAACAACTGCACTCCAGCACGAGTATTGTGTTGGCCAGCGGACACCATTCCAACACCTCGTCGAAGGCATTCTCGAACAACTTCGGACAGGAACACCGTCTCATCAATATCCTCTGTTTCCGCACATTCTGCCAAGACGAGAAACACAATGGGGGACCTGATGTCGCTGGCAATGAGAAGCAAATCCTCTTGGAGCTCACAGAAAGTTTGCAATTTGTCATACATGTATTGCTTATTGTCGTTCAACTTTGTCATGAGCTCATGAGGACGATTCTTCAGTTCGTTCAAAGCAGCAATTGCTGCACTTGCTGTAAAAGGTGGGGACGACGCACTGAAGCAATAACCAGAACCACTGAGCCTTTGGTGATCCACAATCTCTTCATTACCAATGGTAACACCTCCAATGCTGCCTAGTGAGTTTTCAAGTGCAATAGTGACCACTTCAGCATCATGCATCAGCTTCTTGTTGAAGAGCTCAAGAGCTCCTTTGCCAGTGGCTCCAAGTGTTCCAAAGGAGAAAGACTCATCGAGAATCAATCTGTAGTGGAATTCATGTTTCATGGGAACAATTTTGTCGAGTGCTGCAATCTGTCCAGTGTTTTTGTAGAGGCCCTCGCAAATGATAAACCGGCGTTGCGCGTTGGGAGCACGTCCCAGCTGCTTGTCGTTCTCTGCCACTCCCTCTAGGACCCGGCGCAAGTCATCCTGACATGGCATCAATCAAACCAAGGTCAGGACACGAAAGCAACATAATAATAATTGTAGTCAAGCACAGCTGAGACTTACCATATCATTGTGTTTGAACCATTTAACATAGGCTCGACTCAATTTGACACCAGCAATGAGAGGTTCACGCACTCCTTCATCAACCACCAACAAATCTCCGCGCTGTTTGATTTTGATTGGAAAGTAGAGAAGGTAAGAAAGATTGAAAAGTCAAATTTAGGTCAGCAAACGGCAACAATGTAATGGACCTATTGGCTGGTCAGTCAGACAGACAGCACTTACCTTGCAAAATGCAGCAACAGTACTGCTAACAGTAGAAGCACCATCGGAATACAAAATGGCTCCCTCTGATCCCATGAACTCGGTAATCTCTTCTTCCAACTTGAGATGGGGATCAATGGTTCCATAGAATCCACGAGGACCACAGGCACCAACTCCGTATCGTTCCAGGGCTTCAACGGATGCTTGTTTCATGGGGTTACTACTGATCAACTTTTCTTCCACAACGGTGACCTTGGAAGCAACATTTTTCTTTTTCATCTTCTTGCGCTTGCCATTCTTGTTTGAAGGTTTGCTGTTGTCGACTGGTTCATTGGGGTTCCCGTACTGCTGTTCATTATTATTGAGTTCTGCAGCCTCTTCATCCTTTTTCTCTTCGACTCCTTCATAGTTGTCGTTATTGTATCCTTCTTCCGAGGATGTTGTCATTGCCGTCGAACTGCCAGTGCTAGCGGTGGTGCTGCCCATAATGCTGCTTTCGGGAGCCGTGAATTCTGCCGACATTCCCAAAAAGTCAAAGGTACCAAAGTTGATAACATTGTGGATGGTAGGGTCATTGTCCATGGAGACCTGCATCGTGGTGCCTTCCACTTTGTGGACGACAAAGGAAGGGACATCCTTGGCAGTGGCAGGGACACCACCGGCCCCAGCTGTGGGTACCAAGGGAGCACGGCCATTTTCACGCCACTCCTTGATGAGATCTTCTTCTTCTCTCTTGGTGAGTTGATCCTTCTTGGTTTGCTTCCAGTCTTTGGATCGGCTCATGAACATGTAAATCACCGAAATCAGCAGAGTAGTTTCCACCAAGACATGGACCGGGTCGTGCTTGAGCAAATCCCACCACCATGTACTGTACAATAGGGGAAAGTTGACCATTGCCGACCACAAGGAAGGAGCTGTTTCCTGGATGCTGGACCACATGGTGTCGTCTGGTTGTTGTTGTCCTTTGATTACCCAAGTCTTTAAAAAATGACGGGCTGCTTGACCAGCAGTAAAGCCCAATGAATGGACGTGAGGGAGGAATGTCTCAGCAGACATGGTTGGATTGATGGATGGATGGATCGTTCGTTCGTCTGATTGATTGAAAGGATCGTTTGTGTGTATTGTAAAAGAGAGAGTAGTGGTGGTCGGATCAGTTGGAAAATAAAAAATGGAGGTAGAGTAAACCCGCGTTGTAGCAGTTGACAACAAGAGCCAAGAGCCGAACCTGTTTAACTCAAGCAAGAAAGTCCGTGTTGCTTCTTCGCTGTATCAAGGGAGATGATAGATACCGGTACGGTGTGCAGAAGTGGCTACTAGCTAGCTAGCGAGAACAAGATGCTTTTATTACATGTACAAGGTATTGGCATTTCCTCCGACCCCGCCATGTACCAGTATTGCTGGTTGGCTACGGTATTGGCAGTCGAAACAAAAAAATGACGGCTCTTGTTGTGGCTCCACGCGTGCCAAAATCGATTCCCGTGAAGCCGAGGAAGAGGCTTCGTGGACCCGTCAAGATCTCGAGACGACGGCGACAACAGTAGTCAATGCCCAAGCTCTTTCAGCGACACGGGTTCGATTCTATGAAGAAGTGGGCACGGGTCAAAGTGGTATTTGTTTCTGTCCTCGGTTAGGTAGACGGCCAGGGAAGAGGAAGCATACTAGTGGCAGGGCGGACTACTACCGTATGCATAGCTAGAGCTGGGAGAGAAAAGATTTCCTCCTTGGTCGTCACGGACGCTGCCTGTCTTGGAATCTACCGTAGCTAGATTCCTTGCTTGATGGAGAAGGAAGATTCCTTTTGCCGTTTGTCAGGCAGCTACGGTACCGTAGGAATCAAGCTGCTGTTGCGGACGTCCCTCCAGCATGCAACCAACCGTCGTTCAAACGGGACTGCCTATGCTCCATTGTCGAGGCAAAGGGGTTTGTACAAGCGTTGTTTTGGTAGCAAAGACGGATGCCTGTGTAGACCTGATCACTACGGTACCGGTGCTTCCTATGACACTCCCAGAAGAGCCTTTTGAACTTACTCACTTGTGTACAACGGTATCTATCTACCAGTAGCTAGCTAGGATCTGGTTGAAGACTGCTTCGATGACGACACCAAAGTCAGCCAGCAGACAGTAGTTGCGGAGTCTAATGCCAGCCAGCTAGCTAGCTAGCAAGCTGATGAAAAATGAAAACCACGAAGTAAAAATCCCTGTTGCCTCGCGAAATATCATCACAAAAACATTTTTAAACGCACTATTTTAGATTGTGAGCAGCAACCGTCCAGTTAGCTTGAGTCTAGTTCGTACAGTGGTTAGTACCCCGCATTGTGGTTGCGGAAACCTGGGTTCGATTCCCAGACTGGACATATCCTTTTGTTCTATTCGATATCGAGAAACTCTTCTTTTGCTCCCACTGACAACTTTGTTAGTTGCTTCGTGGCTACTAGGGTGGCCATCCTTTTGCTGCCTCCGCCATTCTTTTGATGCCTCCGCCATTCTTTTGCTCTATTCGATATCGAGAAACGCTTCTTTTGCTCCCTCTGACAACGTTGTTAGTTGCTTCGCTTCCCTTTTCATTGACCATGGACTCCCCTTTCATTGAAGACACGCCATCACTTTTGCCGCCTCTGACATCATTGCCATTGGTGGGCGACTTCATCTTTTGCAATCCTTTTGCTCTATTCAATATCGAGAGACTCTCCTTTCATTGAAGATATTTTGGCCAGTCCCTCACAATGCCTTTTGCTCCATCCGACATTGACGAAGGACTCCTCTTTTGTTGCATCTTCAAGAAAGCAAGCAACAACAACGCCGTTAGTTGCTTCGCATCTGACAACATCTTTAGATGGCACCATCCTTTTGCTGCCTCTGACAGTGCCATTGGTGGGCGACTTCATATTTTGCCACCTTTTTGTTCTAGTAGTATTCGATATCGAGCGAGCGCAGACAAGCTGCACTCGCCCAGAGCAGCTAGGCACGACTAGTAGAGGATTAGGTGAGTGGAGAGACTCAGCCATTTACTGAGCCGACCGTCTCCAGTCCCCGGGGTACCATTCGGGACTGGGAGTCCCGGATGGATCCCACACGGCGGAAGGGAGTCCCGGCAATGTAATGTTCCACGGGACAGCCTTTAGTTGTGCAACCAGGGAGGGAGAGAGGTGGGTTAATCTAATCTAAATTCTTGCTGTCAGCGCCGGCTGAATGAAGAATTGTGAGCTGAGAGAGAGAGACAACCTTCTTGCGATCGGCAGTTCAATGGCTGGTATTGGCTAGGTAGCGGGCTTTAGCAATTCATGGTTGCCGCTTTCGATCTTGCCAAATGTGATTTTGGACAGGCATTGTTGCCTTATTAGTAATCTTGTTTGAGAGGCATTGATGGGCTGATGTAGTGCATCATTATGTGGGGTATCCAATTCCGGAATGCAAGCAGTTGATGATCTGCGAGGTGTAGACATGTACTTGAACTGTGCGGGAATTAATTTTGCAAATTGTGAGAGGGTTTGCAATTTGTGAGATGGTTCATTTCGGAAACCATGATTAGAGTCATAGTTGTGAGAACTCATGAGGGTTAGAGTTTCCACGCCATTGGACGTGGAAACTTGGACGGGGTGTTTGCCAAGCGTGCTGCTGTTCGACACAGCGAGAAGCCTCATTACTGTTAGTTTCCCACCGTTCCCTCTTATGTATGTGCCAACCATTTGCCGGCTCTTACAACGTCCTTGGATGGCACCTTCATCTTTTGCTGCCTCTCTGATGTCCTTGACAGCCATCTCCAAACTGACTGGACATCAGCTAATTTTTTGCTGTCTGTGACATTGTGTCCTTTTAAATGGTGATAGCATCTTCATATAGAGTGATCTGCACATTAAGACGGACCATTCCGCGGAATATTCTCTTCAGAGCTGGATATCGAATTGGTACTCTTAATTTAAAAAGCAGGGAATCGAGAGAACACATGTAGTTGAGTATGCCACAAAATTCCCAACCTCAGAGTGTTCTTAGAAGAGGAGTTACCGGCCGTTGAAGATTTCAACCACTCCACAGCGAATTCTTTTTCACTGCAGATTAAGACCATATGATGTCACACGTAGCCTCTAGTACTGAATCTACGTAGGATCCGGTACCGGTACCGTACTCTATGGAGTGAAACTCCCAAGGTGCAGGGCACCTCTACCGCCGGTCTCGGCACCTCTATTATAGTCTATCAGTGTACCGGTATCGTCACTGGTTCCTCTTTGGAAGCTATCGACACTCCTTCCTCTAACATATCGGCACTGCTTCCTCTAGCTAGCTACCGGTAGAGGTGCAATACACGGCTCTTAGCCAATGCAATACACGGCTCTCAGCCTTATTCGCGACTCGATCCTAGATAGGGTCTGAGTTCGACTCATGACGTAGTCCTTCGCGAATAGTCATTGGAGACAGAATTCTCAATGACCGCTCTAGTCATACTAGGTTGATGATGAAACATCGCTCTAGATATTTAGCCAGCGTGGAGTACTTCCACGCCACTAGAATGAATTGCTAGACGAATCTTCCACGTTCCGTTTTGGATCGTGGAACGAGTAGGATTCTACCCAACACTCTATCTCACTCTACAGTCTCCCGCGGAGTTCAGATCTACGATCCTTTGATTGTGGATCTCTCTGTTGATTAGTTTTCATAGCTTCTAATCCTCTCATAACTTTCATTCTCTCAAACTAAAACACTCGAAAGATCTTTACACTAGCTTTTAGCGTAGTGCATTTTGTTAACAAACACAATAGCTTTCAGCTACCCTCAACCTATCCTCACCATGAAGATTGCCAAAGACGCATACACCACTTCGAGTCTAAGCTGCGACAAACCAATCCTTCCTCTCATCGACCTCGATGATGAATGCGAAATCGACGATTCTCGCTCTACCACCTACAAACTCGCACTTTCCAGCAGATGCTAACAGTGCCAAGTACAACCTTCAAGGTCCAAATCATCAATGGATCTGGACTCCACGTCAGACCATCAAGTGGGCTGGACGTATGGAGAAAGTCTTCGTCGGGCTCGCCATTGCTACGCTGACGACAAACATAACCTCCTCAGGGAATGACTTCTAGCTCTGCCAAGAGCAGTTACGAATCTAGCTGTGCAGGCCATCGTGAAATACTTGGAATGCCTTGCGCCAGTTGCAGTCAACGCGATTCCTCACGCGAATACGTGGCGGTGAAGACGAAGCCACTTTCCAAGCACGTTTCCAGGCTGCCTGGAACGGAGCAGCTCAGCCTGCTTTGGACGACGCTGACATTACGTTTGGCATAAATGCCTGTATCGAAGCGGTCTGTCCCTACAAGGCGCTTGAAAAGCAGAAACGCTTCATGCGCCGCAAGATGCGTAAGCCTGCGATATGCTACTCGGGCTTATGCAACAACCTCAGTCGGATGAACACCGATGAACTTCCTCGTCTACCACCTTTTGGACCCAACCAAACGTTGAACCATGACGAAGTCATTGACATTGTTTGTCATGGAATTCCACGCTCGTGGATGAAGAAGATGGACGAACACGACTTCGATCCTTTCTCAGCTCCTATCGGGGAAACCATTGGATTCTGCGAACGCATGGAATCCTCCGAAGACTTTGACAGGGCGGTGATTCCAAGCAAGCTCCTACGAAGAAGAACAACAGCAAGAAGTACAAGTCTACTCGCAACAACGAAACTCTTCCAAGAAGAAGAAAAATGGTGTGACTACCAGAGTCCAGCACTCACACTGCTGATGCATGACTTTGAAGAAGCTCAAGGCCAAGTCTCAGTCTTCGTCTGACAACGATACAAGCCAGCGTACAACAAGAAAAGATTGGAAACGCAAGTCGCGACGCCAAGACCTACACCAAGAAGGAACTCTCTGTCCTCATGAAGAAGGTTTCCAACGCTGCGGTCAAGGGCTGATCGCAAGAAGAAAGCGAATGCAACCATGTTGCCAACGCAAGTCTGACAACTCGACAGAGGACGACTCCTCTGTTGGATCCATCAACATGATGACAAGAAAATGGCTGCTGTGACAAGGCGCTTGCCGAATTCGACTTCAATCATTCGGATGGAGAGATCTCCGTCTGAGGTTAGGCCAGGATGATATCCACAACCATTTCTCATATACTAAGTGATTAAGATATCTCACTAAATAGTAAACAAGATTTGTTTCAACTAACGAAGTCTACGGCCAATTAGATAATTCCTAGACTACTCAACTAGAAACTACGATCTGTTCAGCATGTTAACTTGTCCATGGCATCAACTCATCAACGTCACAGACAAGAGAAACTACATCGTCCTGGCGATACTAGGCCGCTCTCGAGTCGGTGAATGCGTTGGTGACTCAATGCTCCCGCTCTGGC